AAAAAAAAAAAAAAAAAAAATGTCACTTGCCTTCCATTGTAGATGTCTCAACCATCTTCTCACCAACAGATCTACCTTGTATAGAGACAGTGAGGATTAAGAGAGAGAGAAAGAAAGAGACAAGGCCTTTTTTTTTTAAAAGGTAGATTTCAGAGTTAGGTACATACAAGGTCATCGTACAGGTAAAGTGTGGGTATCCTATTGATGTTATGTGCCCCACCCCCACCCCCACCCCTGGCAGTGTCCCATTACTGCCAATCCCTTTCTTATAGTATTATGATAAATGTTCAGGGTCCACTTATGAGTGAGTACATGTGATACTCAGATCTTTGTTTCTGTGATAAATCACTGAGTATTATAGACACTAATTCTATCCAGATTGCTGCAAAGTTAATAATTGTGTTTTTCTTTATGGCTACATAATATTCCATCATGTAAATGTACCACATTTTCTTTACTCAGTTCACTTTCAATGGGCAGCACAGTCAGTTCCATATTTTTGCTATTGTAACTAATGCTGCAATAAACAATGCATGTGCAGGTATCTTTTTTATAGAGTAATTTAAGTTACTCTGGGTATATTCCCAGAAGGGGGGATTGCTGGGTCATATGGAAGGTCGATTTTTAGATCTTTTAGAAATCGCCACACTGTTTTCCATAGAGGTGGTACTAGTTTACATTCCCAGCAACAGTGTAGAAGTATTCCCTTTTCTCTACATCTTCTCCATCATCTGTTGTTTTTTGAGTTATTAACGATGGCCATCCTGACTGGAGTTAGATGGTATCTCAGTGTGGTTTTAATTTGCATTTCTTTGATGATTAGTGAGGCTGAGCATTTTTTCATATATCTGTTAGCTGCTTGAATGTCTTCTTCTGAGAAGTGTCTATTCATATCTTTTGCCCGTTTGTTATTTTCTTTTCAGCACATTTGAGTTTCTTCTAGATCCTGGATGTGAGGCCTTTGTCCAATTTACAGTTAGCAAATATTTTTTCCCATCCTATGGGCTATCTCTCCACTCTCTTGATGGTTTCTTTTGCTTTTGCAGTTTGTCTGTCTTTTATGGCATTCGCTTTTAGAGAGTTGATCAGGAATCGGTTGCCTATTCCAATTTCCGTAAGGGTGTTTCCTACATTTTCTTCTAGGATTCTTATAGCTTGAGGTTTTACATTTAGGTCTCCGATCCATTTAGAGTTAATTTTTGTGGATGGGGATAGATAGGGGTCCTGTTTCAATCTTCTGCATGTGGTCAGCTAGTTTTCCCAGCACCATTTACTGAATAGGTTCTCCTCTCCCCACTGGTTGTTGGTGAAAGTTTTGTCAAAGATGAGTTGGTTGAGAAATTGAGGTTTTGCTTCCAGAGTCTCCTTCCTTTTCCATTGGTCTATATACTTGTTCTTGGACCGCTAGCAGGCTGTTTTGATTATTTATTATTACAGTAGAGTTTGAAGTCTGGAAGTGTGACACCTCCCACTTTGTTTCTTTTGCTAAGGATTGTTTTGGCTATTCATGGTCTTTTATGTTTCCATATGAATTCCTGTATTGTCATTTTCAGGTCTGAGAAGAATGGTGTTGGTAATTTAATAGATATTGCATTACATGTGTAGATTGCCTTTGGTAGGATGGACATCTTAACAATGTTAATTCTTCCAGTCCATGAGCATGGAATATTTTTCCATTTGCTTATGTTTTCTTGGATTTCTTTGAGCAGTGTTTTGTAGTTTTCCTTTTTTTTTTTTTTTTGAGTTGGAGTCTCACTCTGTCGCCCAGATTGCAGTGCAGTGGCACGCTCCCGGCCACCGCAGCCTCGACCTATTGAGCTCTGGCGATCTTTCCGCCTCAGCCTTCCATAGCTGGAACTACAGGCGCGCGTTACCATGCCTGGCTAATTTTTTTGATTTATTGTAGAGATGAGGTCTCACCAAGTTGCCCAGGCGGGTCTTGAACCTGCAGGCTCAGGCAATTCACTCACCTCGGCCTCCCAAAGCGCAGGGTTACAGTCTGAGCCACCGAGCCCGGCCTGTAGTTTTCATTGTAAAGATGATTCACTTCTTTGGTTAGAAAGATGCCAAGGTATTTCATTATTTTGTGACTGTTGTGAATAGGATTGTGCTTTTTATTTGGGTTTCTGTCTGATTATTGTTGGTGTATAGGAATGCAACTGTGTTTTGCACGTTTATTTTATAACCTGAGACTTTGCCAAAGTCTTTTATCAGTGCAAGGAGGTTTTTGACAGATTCTCTTGAGTTTTCAAGATATAGGATCATGCCATCTACAAAAACTTCCTCTTTTCCTATTTGGATATCCTTGATTTCCTTCTCTTGTCTAATTGTTCTAGCTAGGACTTCCAACACTACATTAAACAGGAGGGGTGAGAGTGGGCAGCCTAGAGGAAGGCTATTTTAAGATAGTAACCCTGACTTCATTTTACTTGGCCCCTAAGTTCATTATATACTCTTCCCAAATGGCCATCCTCATCTTGTATATCATCATCATGTGAGTCCCCACCCAGCTGCTTCCACCACCATTTCTCCTTCATTAAAAAAAATAAAACTGTCCAGGTGCAGTGGCTGACACCTGTAGCCCCAGCACTTTGGGAGGCAGATGTGAGAGTATTGCCTGAGCTCAGGGGTTCGAGACCAGCCTGAACATGGTAAGACCTCGTCTTTATAGTAAATTAAAAAAAAAAATCAACTGGGCTTGGTGGCTCATGCCTATGGTTCCAGCTACTTGGAAGGCTGAGGCAGAAGGATCACCTGAGCCCAGCAGGTCGAGGCTGCAGTGGGCGTGAGTGTGCCACTGCACTCCAGGCTGCACAACAGAGTGAGACTTCAACTCAAAAAATAAGCTGGCCTGAGATCACGTGACTCATGGTATCACACTTAACCTAAACAACCAGACTTTGAACTTGAAGTAGTGGCATGAAGAATACTAGAATATCAAGTTTGGCTTCTAAGTCAACAATCAGTGTATTTTGATTGATCCAGGCTATGTGCTATTGTAATACAGAAACAGGAAAAGTACAGCCCTGCCTGAGGCCACTCTGCCCTTTGTGGCAATGTCAGTGAAGTTTTCCTTTACCTCCTTGAACAACTACCCTCTTATCTAGAGCATTGCTCTTGCTCACTTAGTAACATATTTGATGGAACATTCAGAGAACAGCTGAGCTATTCACAAATTAAAGTATCAGGCATCTTGCAGCTAATTTTCACAAAATGCGATCATAGAATTGCTGGCTTAGAATGTCCTATCATAAACTCTTGAAATGATAGAATAAATAAGTTTATCTACTTGATGATATATATTGTTATTTTTATTAACTTTGTCCTTTTTTGTGTGTTTTTAAGGCTGCAAAGAAGTTTATTTCTGGCCAGAAGTCAATGGCAGCGAGTGGAAATTTGGGACATACACCTTTTGTTGATGAATTGTAATCCTGAAGCACATGTTAAAGGAGAAAGGTTAACATTCTCTCACTCCAGAGCAGCAAACATGTGAAAGCCAGAAGTCACTGATGTAACGTTTATCTTTTTTTCAGTGAGGTAAAAATACCTTAAAGCATAAATGAGTGTAATTATTTTCAGCTGACCTAAAGTCAATAAAACATTCTACTTAAATGTGGGGGTTTTTTTGCATTTTCCAAATCACTTAATAAACAAATATTTATTACATGCTGATACCTTTGTTTTAGATTCTACAGAGGATACAGGAATGTAATAATTGAGTGCAAAAGAATCAGGAACTATTAAAATTAAGGCGAAGTGGCAATCAGGGTAGATAATTCCAGATTATTATTGGTGACTTTTTAAAATAAAAGCAGTCATTTTGGGTATCAACAGTTAAGTGATCAGATTTTTACCCACATTTTTCCTTTTTTGCAATAAAATTATCTCTGAGAGACATAAACTCTATATCAATTATATCCTGTATTCTCATTATGTCATTTTATATGTCTGATTTATCTTCACTAACAGAGTTTTATCCTCTCATCTCCTGTCTCTCCCACTTCTGTTTCTATCCTGACTCAAGTAATTAACTCCAACATTCAAAGTAAAAGTAGGGCTGAAAGGGGGGGAAATTCTAATGTGAACAACTAGGCAAAGAATGTTTCTCTGTTAATTATTTTAATTAAGTACTTGAAGTTTGCAAAAAGAAAGACAGACTAAAGATCTAAAGAAAAATGCAATATTTACCCTAAGTGAAGTTATCTACTATGTTTAGACATTCTGATATTGGAGTCCCCTGCTGCATTTTCTAAAAGATGAGAAATTCTTCTCAGAAAGGAAGGTCTTGATGATCTGAATGATGTTACTATTTTGAGAATAAGATGTGTGAGGCCTGCAAGATCTCAGGGAAGTCTTTAGATAATCACATTGAAGAAAGTCTCTGAAGGCTTATAACATAGGCATGGAAGAAAATCTAGGTCTACACATAGTCCTGTAAGAACAGCAAACCTGTACATAGTGATGCACAAAAAGTGGGTATTTTCAAAATAAATGCTTCTGTAATCACATTTTTGCAAACCACTGCCTAACCAACCTTTGATGCCACGTGGCATTTACCCTCTTCAACTTGGGCACAGTCTTCCAGCCAAAATACATCTGAGATAGAGGAAGCTGAGGAGGAAGAGCTTTTGTTTTCTTGCTTCACCATTGTCCAGTATGGAGAAGGGGCTCTCGTTCCTTTCTTGTGCTCTGTGTGAATCACCACATCACTGTTCATGTCTTTTCCTACACTAATACTATGGTTGTTCTTTTTATATCCATGCCATTCTCTGGAGATGGATATCGGTCTTCTTGCAGAGTGATGCCCAGTTGACCGTGGAGATTTATGGTACTTAAATTTTTTATCTAAAACTACATCTTCATTGTCATCACCATGTATGAAAGATTGATCTTTTGCCTCTTCAGGTTTTTTTGGTGTGCTGAAATGAAAAGAATAATAAACGAAATGAATTTTTTAATGTCTGAACATCCCCTAACAAAATGTCATATAACCTGCTTTGGCTCATAAAAGAAAAGATGCAATTTAGCTTTAGCGCTACCTTTCTATGTCATTGAAGGTTTTCTCTTTTTTAAAAGTACTTTTAAGTTTTTCCATTCCTAAACAGAAGTCAAATTATGCTTTAATTAGTCCACACTACTTTAAAAAACTTTCCACAGATGCAGGCCAGACTACTGACTAGAATATTAGGAGGCATTAAAGAGTGGGTTAATTCACTGCAGCTAGAGTGACAGGTTCAACGTGGCCATCTCCTCCTGAGAACTCTGTTCTTGCGGGTCACAGGGCAATAACAGCATTACCAGTTGCCAGGGGAGTCAGTAAATAGTGGGCCTCCAGGATCTTCAACATGTTAGTCATTAGTAAGCCTTTGAGTCTTCTTTTTTTCTCATAACACTGCCACAAAGCAAAATTCTTTGCCTCCCTTTTAGGTTTACAGATGTGAATTTGTAGAGTACCCTTCTACCCAGATATTCACTGTTCTCCCTCTCTGTTGCCATCCAGAAGCTTTAAGGTTTTCTTTGTAATTTTCTCCAACTATTGACATTTTGATTGTTGAATCTTGGATGATGCTTGCCTACTAGCAACTACAGACCTCTGAATGCTGTACCTGTGCTTGTTATTAATTTCTAGAACAAAGGCTGTCTATCATCAGCTTTCCCTTGTCCTGATGCTATTGCTCAGCATAACCAAAGTCAGATATTTATTTCAAACCTCTGGTACAATCTATCTGCTAATACAAAATCAGGTTTCTTCCCACCCCCAACCTGGCAAGGTTTGCTAGTGTTATCACTAATACCCTTGATGGTCTGCCTGTTATATTTGCTTCCAAGAATTTGAACAGCTTTTCCTAAAAGGGTTTTATCTCTTCTAGTAATAAACAATTGGTATTAAGTCTTTATTTATTTATTGAGTTGGAGTCTCACTCTGTCGCCCAGGCTGGAATGCAATAGTACACTCATGGCCACCATAGCCTTGACTTGCTGGGCTCAGGTGATCCTTCCATCTCAGCCTTCCAGGTAACTGGAACTAAAAGCACATGCCACTACGCCTAGCTAATTTTTTTATTTTATTGTGGAGACGTAGTCTCACCAAGTTGCCCAGTCTGGCCTTGAACCCCTGAGCTCAGGCAATCCTCTCGCCTCCGCCTCCCAAAGTGCTGGGATTACAGGTGTGACACAGCGCCCAGCAGTATTGAGTCATTTTTATTGAGAGCCACTAGTCTTAAATTGTTTGATTTTCTTTATCCTTGATTTAGGGCCATGTGAAGAGATTCAGAAATATCTCAAGACAAGAACAATTTGCCTTCAGATACACCCAGGTCTTCCTGAACAGCACATACGTGAAAAAAAATTCAAGTTACTGTTTTTTTCAGATTGGAAGGAGTACTCTTGGTAACTCTGTATTAGGTTACTATAAAGGACAGTTAGTAAAGCCAGCTCTTTTCAAATTGGCATTAGACAATAAAGCCACAAGCCAGCAGAGGTCAGGGTTGGCTGGTAATAAATTTTTTATACCACTAGGCATACCCAGAGCATTACATGGATTATTTTCTCCTGTGTGCACACAGTGTGATATTCTCCTGAAAGGAGTCGTACCAACTTTGTGAAAGAAGCCTTTCCTTTCCCCTTCTGTCCCTTCCCTGGCCCCTTCCACGTAAGTTACTAAAATGCCTTGGATATAAGGACTTTGTTTAATTAAGAAAAGGATTCGGTCAGGCTTGGTGGCTCAGCCTGTAATCCCAGCACTTTGGGAGGCGGAGGTGAGAGGATTGCCTGAGTACAGGGGTTTGAGACCAGCCTGAGCAACTTGGCAAGACCTTGTCTCTACAATAAATTAGCTGAGCGTGGTGGTACACACCTGTGGTTCCAGGTACTTGGAAGGCTGAGATGGAAGGATCACCTGACCCCAGCAGATCAAGGCTGCAGTGGCCATGAGTGTGCCTCTGCACTCCAGCCTGGGCAACAGAGTAAAATTCCTACTCCAGAAAGAAAAAAAAGGACTCAAAATGTGCTTGGTATTATTTCTTAAGTTTGTGGCTTTTAGCCTCATACTTAAGTTGTGCTGTTCTCTTTGTTTATCTTGTCTTTGCTTTTGGTTTTTGTTTTTTTTTTTTGAGTTGGAGTCTCACTCTGTCGCCCAGACTGGAGTGCAGTGGCACACTCCTGGCCACTGCAGCCTCGACCTGCTGGGCTCTGGTGATCCTTCCACCTG